GCTGGGTCATACAAAAGCAATAAGCGTTTATCTACCCAAGATGAAAACGTACGAAAAGAACGGCGCAAAATGATACAAGTAAATAAACAATAAAAATAAATTGATGTACCTTCTTTTTTCCTATGAAATTCCTGGGTCAGGGGGATAAAGAAGGTCCGGTGGGGAGCGGGGAGTGGGTGGTGGGTTCATTTGGCTCTTTTTTTTCAGATTCCTGTGCGGGGATCGTGCAAGATGGAGGGGCCATACACTCCCCTTTTTGTCCCCCCCCCCCCCCCCCTCCTTCTTCCCCCTTTCATTTCCATACCCAAAAACTAAAACCCCCGCAGCATCGCCGACGTCCTCGGCGTCGAAGTCTTCCGCCAAACCATCGCCGACAACGTCCTCACAGGCTCCTACATGTCCCTCTCCAACCAAGGCGGCCTCGTCCACCCAAAAACCTCCATCCAAGACCAAGACGAGCTCTCTTCGCTGCTGCAAGTGCCACTCGTTGCGGGCAGCGTGAACCGCGGCTCCCCCGTCGTTGGTGCCGGGATGGTCGTCAACGACTGGCTGGCCGTGACGGGCCTGGATACGACGGCGACGGAGCTGAGCGTTGTGGAGAGTGTGTTTAAGTTGGGCGAAGGGGCGGCGCCCGGGGGTGGCGGGAAGAGTTCACTGGGGGCGTTTGGGAATACGCATAAAGAGAGTTTGGTGGAGAGTTTTTATTGAGTTTTGTTTCGTTTTTCTGGAGGGAGGGAGGCTTGTGGCGGTTTCGCCCCGTTTTTATGTCCACGCACGCATTGTTTTTTCCCCCTGTAACTCTGGGTTTTTGAGAGGACTTTGTTAACTCGAGGAACTGATAGATTTGGAATGGGTCTTTTTTTTTTTTTTTTTTTTTTTTTTTTTCCTTTTCCTTACTTTTTCTTTCTATTATTATGGTTCCGCTTTTCATGTGTCTCGTGTGCAATGTATACATTCATAGGCATGGCCTGCTTCAGGCTGGAGGCGGGTTCTTGTAAAGTTGTAAAGGAAAGGAAAAGAAAGGAAAGGAATTTATTTCTATTTCATTTCCCTTCTTCCTGTCATCCGTAGCAACCAACCGGCTCTGAGGCTGCTTGCTGTTGCTGTCACTTCTTCCGCTTCCGCTTCCTCTCTGCGGCAAGGAATGCATGTGCGACATATACATTCCGCATGGCGAGCGATATATATACACATCTTGATTTTTGGAAACATATTTTTATTGATTTGTAATATCAGCGTGGGAAAATTTACAGTGTGATTGTTTCTTGGTATTATTTCCTTCGCGGAGCGCTGGTTCAAAGATACACAATAAGTTACATAACTATACTAAAAGTAGAAGGAAGGACTAAGAAACACAACGTGTGCATTTGATTCTCTGAAATTTACGGTTTGGACGGAAGGTGAGATAGGGGTTCTACTTTGCTGTTATCAATGGCTTGTGGATTTGGATTAGATCTTGAATTGAATTGCTCTGTATTATTGGTTTGCATTCACATACTTGTGAAGGCGGGCATGTTTTTTCTTTTCTTTTCTTTTCTTTTGGATTAGGACGGTGGTGTGTGCCGTGTGCATCTGTGTGCATGCGATATTGGTACAGCAGGAAAGCGGAAGAGAGAGGGGGAGGAAGGAAGTAAGAAAGGGGGATGGTATTTTCAGGTAACGAAGGGTGTATGTATGTACACATGTAAGTGGATGGGAAGTTATGCGGGCTGAAGGACAGTAGAAGGTGATGTGATATTGGTTGTTGCGGATTGGGTGTTCTATGAGCGTGGGTTGAGGATGTAGGTACTTGAATAGCTATGATTGTGTGTGCGTATCTACATGCGGGACTGGATGAATTGGATGATGGGGACAAGAAAGGTGTTTTGGGACCTAGTCAGTAGGTACATTCTGGCATGCTTGGATCAAACGCTAGGTAGCTCGCTGGCTCTCCATTCATCGTAGCCATATCCGTTTTCTCTAATATGTTTGTTGTCAAGTCCTTGTCAATAGGGGCAGTCTCCGTTCGAATTTTGGCCCTTCTTAATTGTTTAGCTGCATGAGAATGTCCGGCTGAACGAACGCCAAGAGTGATATGGTATTTGATGGGAGATGCAGGATGGATTTCCTCGGCCGGTTGAAGAGGAAAAAAAGACAGGGGAGATGCGAGGCGAGACCCCGTGTCCAGATTCCAGCGCTGCTGAGACAAGATGTCTGATGTACGCCGTGACTCACGGAGTTGGAAACCTGTGATAGGAGTATGACCACTGAGGTTGATCATGCACCCCTGGTTCAAACAGACCACGGCAAGGTGGACAGAAACAGATATAACAACCACAGGCCTTATACACGTCAAGAAGAACCAGGCCTTATGTCAACATCAAGAACGGGTTTGAGGTTCCCATCGTCAGACACCGAACCGGCACCAAACGGTTTGTATTCAGAAACACCATTCACGCCCTTCTTATCCACTTCTTCATTCCCACTACTTCGATCCGGCATCGCGACGCTAGACACCTTGTTTATGTCCATCTTCGCATCCTCATCCAAGCCGTTTTCTATATCCTCTGTGGAATTCCCATCGCCAGCGCCATACGTATCGTCTGCATCCGCAGGTGGTGGAGGTGGTGGCGGAGGCGGAGGCGATCCAGAATGTTGTTGCTTGCCTGGAGAGGAAGCGCCACTATTACATCCATCGCCATCTTCGAACTCATCCCGCTTGCATTTATGTTTTTCCACATCACCATCATCGCCAGGAGTCATTCCTGCATCTCCAGGTGGCGGAGGTGGCGGAGGCGGAGTGGCCGATTTCGTCCTTTTGCAAGGTGAAGGCCCCCTAGTATCGGCATCCACATCAAGGTTTCCATCAAGATCTCTCTTCCGTTTGAGGCTATTTCCGTCGACGCTCATTGGCGATGATTTCTTATCTTCCACTCTGTCTATATCATCATCTGACATATTTATATCGTCTTCGACCTCGCTTTCATCCTCTTTCTTAATATTTTGTGACTCCTGTGGTTGTGACAACCCAGGCTTCTCAGCTTCATCCTTTGAGCCATCGCCTGACGTCTTAGCGGCTTCCATTGCCTTCCTCTCAGCCTTTTTCTTTTCGTAGGCTCGCTGTTTCACAACTGCTTTGTCGAAATATTCTTTGCAGTACTTCTTGATTTGTCTTACTTGTTTGTCGCTGACCTTTGTTGGATCGCTCACACGGTTGTTTTTGAAATCCGAGTTCACAAGTTTTTTTCCGACCTAAAACATCCAATGTATTATGTCAGTAAGGTGCAAGCATATCTGGATTTACTTTCGATGGGAGTTTTTGAGCTCATACCTCTTTCGCATAGCGCTTCAAGTCCTCCTTTGGTAGTTTGTGTTTAAACTTATCCACAACGTATTTGACGTGGGGGAAGATCTTTAAACCAAAAGTCAGTCTAATCACAGCGCAGCAAAAGCATCAACATAATGTACATACTGTATTCTCATAAAGTTTCTTCTGTTTTTCTTCACTGTATGATCGCCACTTTTCCTTATGTTCCTTTTTCCCGAGAGGTTTCGCATCTCTAGGCGTAGGTGTAGTAGGGGTCTCGGATCTATCTTGCGTTTTCGGGGTATTCTCTTTGGCATTCATGATACCATCGATGATATCCTGCAATGCCTTATCCTTCGATTCGGATTTCGGTGGAGGAGGGGGTTGTGGAGCGGGAGTTGTCGGCCTTTTCCACGTCGTGGCACCCGATGCAGAATAATAGTAAGTCTTCCCATTCGATTCCGCGGCGAACCAGCCTTGGGGTAACGGGTTGGCAAACGGCGGCCGGCGAAACGGTCTCGGAGGACCATGGTGGTAAGAATTGCGAGGACCCATGCCGTTTCGAAGGGCAGCAGGAGCACGTGGGGCTTCGATGGAACGTGATCGTGACCGTGAGCGAGATCTCGATTTTGTCGTGGGTTGTGTATCATTTCTAGATGACTCTCGTCGTTCGAAGCGGTTGACTGTTGGGGTGTTATTTGTAGCAGCTGGGTCCCTTTTCATTCGAGGAATCCGATAGCCAATTTCCAGTGTGGACCAGACCTCTAAGAGAGCCGCTGCATTCTTTTCCACACGCTCATCGCCACACCCAGTAAGTGGCTGGATAGTTGACTCAATCTTCGAATCGATAATCTTGTTTCTGGTAAGTCTCGGGAACTTATCCAGGATATCAAGAATCTGCAGTACAACATTGAAATCGTCCTTCCAGGCAGTTAGCTGGGAATTGAGAATCTTGTATCCATGCATTTTCACGACACGGTTTCGCACGCGCTCATCGTCGCAGCGTTGAATACGGCCAAGTAGTTTGACGGCGATCCATTTCTCTTTGCACTGCATAAGAGCGGCCATGACCTTGGTGACACCATCTTCGCTCAACGACCTAGGCTGCACACTGTCAACATACTCTTCATCGTCTTCGCCAGTCTTCTTCTTGCGCGGCCGTCTTGCGATAGCAGTATCCCAGCCATCCGGGTCGTCGATACCGAGTGCTTCAATGGTGGCATTGGAGAGCTTCGTTGCACGCTCAGTCTGTGTTTTGCCACCGATGAAACCTGTGCAGTTGGGCTCTCCGCAGTAGCAGGGCTGCGGATCAGCTCCATAACGATCGACGTTGTAATTGAAAACTAGTTCCTCGCCAGCCTTGATGTGCCGCTCGGCAAAAATGCCCATTCGAAGCTTCTCGCCTACAACCCATTTGTCAACATAACAATTAGGATTACATGAATGGTTACAGAAACGCCCGAGGTTGCCTTTCTTCGTGGCGTCGACGAACTCTCCCTTGCTGAGGGACATGAAATAGAAATGTTTGATCCCTTCTTCGTCATAGCTTCTCATACGTTTCCGAAAGTTTCCTTCGTTAATGACTTCGCCGATATACTCGAAAATGAACTGGTTGGGTCGTAAATCGGAGTCGGCACGCAGGCCATAGCCTTTTTTCTCAGTCTTGATGACGGTCACGTTGGCGTATTGTCGTCGTTGAAACCGTTGATTTTCGCATTCATCGCCGCATCCACAATCTCCGACACATTCCATTTTCGTAGCTCGATTGATGCAATCTGAGTCTTCTCCGCAGGCTCCATTTTTGGCAGCCACCGGATCTGGGAATTCACATCAGCATTAAGAATATCACGAAGCCAGGTACTGAGGACAAAATCGGATATATGTCTCCAGTAACATTTGAAAACGAGACATATCACGATTATGCTTAAGGCACTGGGATATAAGAGCATATGTTCTGTCCTTTTTTGGCCCGTTCACAAATAAATATTGGTGAAGCAAAAAAGCAAAATAAAAATAAAAAACGAATAAAATCAAGAAAAAGTAAAGGAAAATCGTGGCTTACCCCACTCTTCTGTACAGTCGCATTCCATAGCATGCTCCGTATAACCCATATATTTACTGGCATACGTGCAGTCATCTATGAGTTGAAATGTGGACGTAGCTTCGGCAGTACAGTCTGCTAGATGGTTGAAGAGTTGTGCTGGTCGAGAAACTACTTTCTGCGAAGCAGTACGAGACAGCTTTGGTGGCTGACCCGGTTCTAGTTTGACGGTTATGGAACCAGGAACTTTCTCCTTTGGTTCCTCGTCTTCATCTTTCTCGCTGGGAGAGCTGGCCTCGCTTTGAGATTTTGACTTGGAAAGACTTTTAGTGGGGCTAGGTTTCGAGAGAGACGCCAAACCATTTGCAAGGCCGTTTGTAGCATCTGGTGTTAGGATATTATCGGCTGAGGAGCTGTCTGTTGAATTATCGTGCTTGATTTGCATGGCAGTCACAGCTTCGGCTACTGCTTCCGCCTTGATGTCCTCATCGTCATGGGGAGCCATGATCGAAAAGTGAACGACAAAGGGGTGGATATGACTTAGTTTTACAGTATTTAAGTGCCGAAATTGCGTTAGTAGCGAGGATGTGAAAATTAATGAATATCAGAGAGAAACGGCGATCGCTTGCTCCCTAGATGTTGAAGTGGCTGTTAAAGTTGGGGATGGTGAAGAGGTGAATTTGGTTGCTTTGGCGGCCAAGGAGTTTCGACGAATGGTGGGTTGATTGATAGATTAACACCCCGTGTCTGACCAGCCTGGTAAGGTGAAGGGATACTGGGCTACAGACATAGAACAGATCCAGCCGCTGCACCGTCTGCGCTGTTTAGTTGATGGCAAGGCGTGGTGCTGTGTAGCGCTCCCCAGTCGATGCGAGAAGGACGAGGAAGGCGAGGTGCAAGTGGAGAGAGCGTGGTGTGGTGGAAATCGGGGGAGGTGCGTGGATGGAAGCGATCACGACGATGGCCCGTAATCTTAGTGCGATGGCGGGATCCGGGTGGGAAAAATTCATAAAAAGCTGGCGGACGACCGCAGCAAATCCTCCCCCAAGCACCAAGTAGCGTACAGCTCAGCAAGCGTTGAAGTCCAGTAAGAATTGCTTAGACTATATAATTCCGGCTCTTGCTTGAAATAAAATGTGGACGGAAGGAGCAGCAGAGATACTCGCACAGCGAACTGTCTCCGGATGGTCACCCCAGTGAACTGACTGAATGGGCCTCTGGTGAAAATGTGAATGTTTTGGGTCCTCTTTTTGTTTGTTTTTTGTGTCAAAATCGCCTATAACTTTGTTTCACGGTGGCAAGGAGGAATAATCAACCCCAAGCAGAGGACAAGAGTCGCTTCCCATTGAGCCTGTGAGCCTCAAGATATTGGTTGATCGCGGCATGGAATAAACGCAAGCTGGTGGCGGTTAAGAAAAACCCGCGAATGCCATTATTAATTCTATCGTGTTCTACCTGGCTTGGGCTCCCCACGAGATATCAGCAGTGATGGGAGAAAAGAGAAAAGACAGGAAATGCAAAGCAAAAGGTGATGATGGTGGTGGCCAGTTAACCAATGCGGAGGATGAAATTATAGGAACCAGATTCTCATGACGTCCGCGGCGTGGGTAAATTCGAGCAGTGCGTGGAATTAACAATAGGCCCCCCCAATGAAAAAAAAAATCTCAACAACGCTTCTTCCCGCCGAAAAAGTGGCCGGTTTGCCTCGTTTATCGCGCTACACAGATAAGTCTATCGTGGCATAAAAAACATCAAGAATTGTCCATCGCTGTCACCACACGCAATGCTGTCATTTTCAAACGGGTCAATAACACATCGCCGGAAATTGTGGTTTTCACTCCAGTCTGAAGGATATCGTCTCACATCCATCACCATCATTCAGAACACAATAACAGGCTGTAGAAGTCAAAATATATAAATTGATGTTCTGGTACTGCTCAGAATCAGAGAAACCTAGCTAAGTCCGCCACGGGGCCTGATCCATCATTTTCATCACCGGCCACCACTTCTGCAAGACGGTGTGGGGTACTCCCGCGGCTGGAATAATATCAACGATGTGGGATTTTCATTCCAATGTGTGTGCTAGGAATAACAGCCATTGACTAGTAGCAGCCATTAATAATGGTCCAAGAGGAACAAGCCAAGACATAAATGTCTACAGACAGACAGACGGAGATAAAAGAATCTTCATAGGCCCAATATCCCGATCGAATAGGATACGCAAGTCGACCGTTTCCCGCGGTGTTAACCGACGAAGTAACCAGTGCGAGAAAATTGTGGTGACCCTATAGTATGAGCGGTTGAAAGCCTAGGGTACAAAACGCCATACATAGAAAGACGGCGATTTGGCGGGAGGTGATTACCGTAGAGTGGTTAGCTACACACTGGCATTAACTCATCCCGACTTGAAAAGGTGACATGTCTCTCGCCGCATAGTTTGATTTGCGAGCCTGAAAAATCCTGTCAAGAAAATGAAGGTTGCTGCGTCCAGAGCCAGGTATCCTCGTGCATCAAAATGGGGGTGCGTGGAGTTGACAACAGGATATTTGAGTAAATCACCAGAGTCAACGTGGCCGTGCGTCCCACCATCAGCTAAGATGAGATCCTCGCGAGGTGTCACTGCAGTGTCAGTTAGAAATAAATAAATATTATGCAATGGCTCCCGCCCAAGTAGTCAGTATCTGTTGACCTATATAAAACATCTCCAGGAGAGTGAAATGAATTTCGTGCTGTGTGTTTGTCCCGTCAGAATGTCTCGTTGGATACCTCGAGTGCCCGCGGTGGTTGGAGTCTGGGATTGTTCACTATTTCGAACCCCGCCATTGTCAGCATACGGAGCGATACATACGTATCAGCTCAGCGGTAGCAAATAGATGGATAAAGGGATAAATAAATAGGTGAAATCATATCTCAATAAGAAGGAATGCGGTGGCGCCTGTGTGAAAAGAAGCTGACAATTTCAAAGGTTGACGGACCGAGCGAGAAAACAAAAATGAGCTTCCTTCCCTGTCACAGCGTGGAGCACGCGATGCCTTATTTGAGTAGCCAGTGAATTTGGCTTGAGAAGTTGGCTGAGGATCTCTTCTCGCCACTCATTTGCTGGAGTTCTCGCCCCGCCATTGGCAAACTTCACAAGAATGGGCTTGGAGCTTGAGCGCGCGATCAGTCCTGACTGGCTGCGGGAGAAGCCCGCGATCGACGTTGCTAAGAAACCAACGGCAGGGGATGACTGGACTGTGGAAGCGTGACAAAGAAATCGTGGAGGGGGCCACAAACAGGGCTGATTCCTGAAGAAGCCGGGTGGTTAACCAGCACCAGTCAAATCACCGTGATGACCAACCAAGACGACAAAAGCCCCTCGGCTTATTTGTTTTGTTTTTTTCGGGGCGGGAAGCTAGAGCGGCGGATATGAAACGGCTTCCATACCCTCGCACATATACAAGTGCTTGGAGGATGGACAGGAAACGCGGGCTGTTCAAGAATGACACCGGAAGAAAAACTTCAAAGCAAGCGATTCGCGGGTTCTTCCTGCGACAAAATGCCGTCGACCAATAAAGGTCGATGAAGCTCTCCAGAGGGTAAAATGGCAATGTTAGTGGCCAGTGGACTGGAAGCCGGAGCCACCTCAAGCATTCTGTAGCGCGCAGGCGAGGATGAACGGTTGGTGTGTGCGCAACCCCAAGCATGAGTGGGGCCAAACCCTTCCACGAGGGTGATGCTCATCTGTTGGCTCCGGAGAGAAGCCCTCGACATGGTGTCTGAAGTCGTTGAGATCCTACATTGAGCTTATGAGGCCAGTCGAGGTTGGGCAGACGCAGCGGGTTTTTTGATATCAAAAGCTGCTAACCATCACGTATGGTATTGACGTACGGGTATGTATCAGAATACGTTACCGTATTTTACATACATATATTACGTTCAATACTATCCTCCCCTCACTGGCTGAGAGAGTTGCAAATTCCATGTTCATTGCTGTTGAGCACAAATCTGCAAGCCGGATGTTCAGATGGATTTCATGCATATTCAAAATTCTATTTTCGCTTCTTTAAATGCCCTCCTTTCATTGGCCACCCACACAGCAATGCTGATGGATTTCAACTGCATGAGGATTTCAACAGTTGTCTTGTATACTTCTTCTAGTAGCAGGCAATTTCTTTCAATTCTTTGTGATATAGCCATTTCCTCCATCATCTAGCAGCGTGGCTGTTGCCTCCTCACCCCCTCGCTCCTGCTCGGTCCCCGCGTCCCTTTACATGTCTTCGTTCTGTGCTCTTTTCCAACAGTGGTGGGCCCGCGTTGAAGTCTATTGCATTCCATGCACTGAATAGCTGCTGGCTTGGGATATGGCGCACGGATTGTGTATTTCCCGCTATACGTATCCGATCTCAAATCCATTCTGTTCTGATGAGGCTGATATGGATACCGCGTTACTGATACAATGGCAAATCATGCATAGTACAGGGACAGGGATGGGGATTGATGTGTTTTGTGCACCGAAGAAAGTAGAATGTTGAGAGGACTAAAAGGGGATTCCATCTGACATTGCGTGGTTACCCATGAAGTGCTGTTAAATGTACGACATATACAGCGCGCTGCAATGGTCAGATCCACATGCTGGCTTTCTCCTTGCATCTCGAGACATTTGCCCTCCGACCACGAAATCGTCAAAATTCGATACGAGAAAGTCTTGCTCTTGCTGTTGGTGCATCTGATGGCCCCATGGCTAATGCGTTGTTTTGTTGTTGTTTTGATACTGATGCTCGCCAGTTGCGAACATGCCATCCTGTCCAATCCCTTCCTCGGTTCTTTGTTTTGTTCTCCTGCAGCCAGCAGCAGCTCAAAACCTGCGTCTTCTAGCCCGCCTTTGCCTGCATGAAGCCACCCCTTCCTCCATCCCCTCCAATTAACTGCGTCGCTGGTTCTCCACCCAGTCCGCTAATTTATAGCACTCTGCTGTGTCAACCTGACCTAGACCCGTGCAAAAAGAAAACATAAAAATAATCATGTGGATCTACTCGTCCGTCCGTCGTCCCAGAAATTGAAATTGATCACACACCAGGGAAAGAGTCAAGGGGAATATGTGAACAAGATTGACAACGATCAGGGCTTCTAGATGAATCAAGTGGATGGCCCAAATTTCTCCGATATTACCCTGTATGGATCGGAGGTATTGGGGGCGGGCCGGGGCTTAGGGCAATCATAAGCGTGGCTCTGTATTTTGCATTTTTACGTTCAGGAATCATGATACATCCACTAATTACTAGTGCAAGATTCTTCCTTGCCTCCGGGTGCCCCTAGTCCAGTTACTACTAGAAGTACGAGCCTCTCTTGGTTACAACTCCCCATTTCTACTCCCCCGATGCAGTGACACCATGCCTTCCAGACTCAAACCCTGCCGTTCTGGCTTACTCCAACCGCGCCTGTCCTGCGAAAGAATAAAAAGTAAAGAAGCAAATTCCACCCACCACGTCTACCGTGATTCGCCCGTGATTTACAGAAAACATGTTGCTCTGTGCAGCCGGAAATGCAACGGCCCCCATACACGCTGATGCGGCGGCAAATACCGGTCGTTCGCTACAGGGTTTGAAACACGTTGCCGTCCAAGCACGTAAGAAGAAATTATGCGGAGTCGGAGTTACGAAACTAGCTTGAGAATCAGCGACTTTGGCCTCAATATACCCGAAGCTTCCCAAGGGAAATAACTGACAAAAGGCCTAGCCATTCATAGTATGTGAGAAACTTGAGCCAGAGCATGTGCTTGATCAGATTCCCTATGCTGGGGCGCTTTTTTTATCTTCCGCCGAGCATGCTACATACATATTTTGAACAAATCTACCAGCCACATCCATCTTTGAGACTACAACCTAACGACAAGCCTTCCTTCCCGTGTCGCGCCAAGGAAAGAACGTTGATATCAGGACTAAAAAAGCTAATAAACAAAACTGAGAGGTGTTTTAATAATAATATATCCTGCAAGCTCCCTTCAACAATCGTTATATTTTCCCTTTCTTCTTCCACACTTCCATATTGCTTTTATCGCGCTTGCTCCTACTATTCCCTGCAAAGCGGGCCTGTTTGAGTACTGTACAACGGCCCCTCACTTTCCCGAATGATAGAGGCTATCTTTTCCATAACTGTCCAACCTCGCACGCCTTTCCGCAACACTATGGAACATTCTTAAAAGGTATCTTCCCCCCCCTCCTCCTCTTTAGGTCGCCAATCGTGACTTGAATTGCTAGACTTTTAAACACATCAAGCTTTTTAAACTAATTCTATCGACGACTGCGGTTGCAATACATCTAAACTGAATGACACCATCTGCTAATTAATAATACACATTAGCCCGGTTTCCTTTTCCATGGTTATTCAGTTGAGGTAAGGTTGTGCCTCCAACATCTTTCCGCGTTGCGCTCCCCTTTTATCCCTTTTCCTTATCTGGGTTTGTTTACTTTTGGATTTATGTAAAGAGTAAGAGGGACATCTGTTTAGCTGGCGGTTAGTTGCTGCGGATTGGGGAGAACATCCTGTATATACCATACCATACCATACCATTCGTTTTGTTTCGTTTTATTTGTGAACTGTATTGTGTTGTACCGTACCTTGCTTAAAAAATTACCAAACCTCCGCTCACGTTACATCTTCTCGTCTCCTCGAATCTCTCCCATTTCTCTTCTGTCACCGGCTTCATTTCTGCTTCCACTCCTTTGCTTCGCTTCCTCTCTTCCACCCCCCCCCCCCTCCTCTCTACCTCCATTTTCCTTCTCTCCCTCCTTCTTTCCCTTCCCTCACCTCATCCTATGCTCTCTTTTCTTTTCCTTCCCTGCCCGCTCGTCCCCCTTTTTTCCCTTTCTCTATTTCCAATCTCTCTTTAAGCGTTTTTATTGGGCCAACCTCGTGTGTTCAAACGTAACCCAGCGTTGACATTCCTCCGTCAATCCCTGTCGTTGATACTCTCGTTAAAACACCCTCATCTTCCATTCTGATGATTTGATATTCATTCTCAACGGCCAGCATATCTCTTTCGAATCGACCGTACCAGCCGCGCGGTGCTCTCCGCCCGTTTATCCTCACTCACGCTTTGGATGCCCATATCTATATGCCGAAATAGTTTAACCAAGTCCCCTCACGATCACGATTACCCCGACGGTAACGACCTCCAGTCCACAATTGAGCGTTCAGAGCGCCGTTTCTCTTCACGATACCATCGCTCATTTTGTTTTCTGTCGCGTTTCATTCAACCTGCGAAACCCACGGCCCCTCAGTCACTCGTTTCGAACCCGCCTCCAGCGCCTGCACATTCGTTTCGAGCCTTGTATTGGTCTCCCCTTTTTGTCTTGGGAGGCCGTTTTGTTTATTTTCGTTCTCTTGCATGCCTTTTATTCTCGTTTTCCTCCTGTCCAATTGCGCCTTGGCTGGAGAATTCTCATAGACTTTTTTCTCGATTTTCCTGGCATTGTTTATGCCAATCTTACGCCTCCGCAATATTTTCATCTCATTTTGTTTTTTAACTTAAAGAAAGACATAACGGAAAGCCTTAGTCGACACTCGGCTTGAGGACAGACAGTGCATGGTGTTAGTTACGCTGTTGTTTTCTCTCATGACAAAGATATGTCGAATCCACCCGATATATGGAAGGACGACGAGAAGGTATGGCTCCAAGTTCTTTTTATATTGAACCCGGGTTGGCCATATTTCAATCTGGTCCAGGTGGATGACGCAGAAAGAACTGACGATTCATCTCTCTAGGTCGAACTCCTCACAGAGATTCTCAAACAAGCTAAAATCCCGCCAGTTTACCTCTACACCATGATCCAGGACCACGGTATCCGCCCTGCCTTCATGGAAATTCCACTCCCACCAGGTATGTGTTTTCATACCCAAGTGGCCAGATATTCTTGCGCATTTCAATTACTAGCAAACCGTCAACGTGCTCGTTGAACCTTTATCATGTTTTATGTAAACGTTCAAGACGAAACTGATACTGACCCGAGAGTCTAGGGCGTTCACTTATGGCATGTCAAAATGCATATAACCATATGGCTCAGGAGTATTCACACATGTTCCCACCACGGCAGAGCCCCTTTGGCTCAAGTGCTCCATTGCAGATCTCTCCTGGGGATAGAAAACGCCCTCTTCATCCCTTGCAAACAGACAAACCGCCAACAGGTCATCGTGCAATCCAACCAAAACCTACCCCACCTGGTCGTTACCCTAGTACGGACATTCTGAAACCACAACAGTTGCCCCCCAGTGTTGATAATAGTTCATTCAACGAGCGTCCACGAAAACGCGGGAGACCAAGTAAACTAGAGACACAGCGTCGGAATCAACTGGAGGCACAGCGTCGGAATCAAGCAGCAGCACAAGCTCGAGGGGAAATGTATCCTGTGAAGGGAGATTCGCCTAGGTTCGGAGTGCCATTAGCACCATCTCTTCCCACAGGAACTGTTTCCGAGGCTCCACCGTTTGCTACCATGAGACCGCAGGTCACAGACGGCCATGTGCATGCGACCCAGATCCAGCCAACAGATGCTCTAGGCTCTCAAACACAAGATATTCGAGTTCACAGAGCGCCACGGCCGCCAACAGACCCGAGCGCCGGGACTTCTGTAGGGTCAACGCCCAATTCTGGGCCTGGGGAATTAACCGCTCGTACAATCATAGAAAGTCAGGCCCCCCCTCCTACGACATCTTCAGCTCCTTCTTTCAGAGGCATAAACCAATCAAGCTCCGTACCTGAGAACCCTAAGCCAGAGACCACACCCCCGTCGAACATTACAACAGCGGAGCGTGGAGGGGATATCTCACCACCTTTTTCTAGGGCCAGAAGAGAGAGTGCATCTTAATACATATATAACAAACCCTTATCAATGGATATGCAACGAGCCGGTTTAGGAATTTTAGAAAATTCCAAAAATAGACCGACAGATGTTCAAGGATTCATGCGATTTCGATGGGAAAAGAGCAACGCCTTTACATATGCGAAACGCAAACGATTTAACGTATGAGGTAGATATAGCTGAATCTACGCTCAGCATTACGGCCTCCTTACATGCCATCATTTCTTTCGGTTTCGGAAAAGCGATAACGTGGGAATGGGTTTTTTTATTTAAGATTCTAAAATCTTCCTAGCCGTTCGTCTCTTTAACGGCCTATTACTGGGCGGCTTTTTTATGCGATTGAAAAATTCGATTCTACTTCGTGTTCCACCGTGATTTTACGGACATACATACACGCGCTCCTGTCGAGATAATTTGCTTTTGAAGCGTTGCACCATCTGAAACTGTATTTGGAATGCAGGGTTTCCCTTTCCATCTGTTTTCAGTCCGAGCCAAGGCGGCAAGAAATCAGGGGCGCAAAATCTGTAGCACCAACTTAAGGGCCCTTCCTTAACCCCACTATATGGAGCCTCTAGAGCTGACAGCAGAGGGAATATGTTGCATCAGCAGAGCGTTTTCCTTTTTCCATATTTCGATACCAGACAATCTTTTGAATATCTTTTATATTTTTCTGATGTTGGCTTTTTATTTGCTAATTTAACTTCAGTTAACTACACAGTCTCAGATTTTGTGATCTTTGTTATTTTTTCCTTTTTCTGCATCTATACTCTCTTTCTTCTGTAATAAGTACTTCACTTTTAATGATAATGTATGAATATATGATATTACTGACATTTTATAATTATTATTATACTTTTTCTTTCTCTTTATATTTTCTTCTTTTTCAATATTTTACTTTCTTTTGAGATGTGTTATAAAAAAAATTTCTTTTTTACATTTTCATTTCTGATATTTTCTTTCAATGTGTTTTTATATATACTTTTTATGTATAAAATATTCTCCTCTATTTTTCAAATCTATATATTATTATTTTATTTTTAGTTAATTTGCATTTTTATATTTTATTTTACAAAATTTTATTTTCTGTAATTTAGAAGAATATTCAGCTGCTGAATAATAATATAGCTGCTTCTGAATTTGCTTATAAATATAAAAAGTTTTAACAGCTTTATTAATTATTTTGTGACAGACTGTATCTAATCAATTATATAAACTATTTTATTACACTTTATAAATTTCTGCTGAAGCTCTGATTCTCAGTCACTGATTTCTGACTGAAGAACTGATGAAATTTCTATTCTTTCATTTTAAAGCTTTATTTTATTTATATATAAATATTCACTCTGATCACTGATTTCTACACTTTTTCTTTTTCTTCTTCTTTAACATTTTTCACTTTTATTATATAAGATCTATATATATTATACTGATCTATTTAGCATAGACTTTTTACACTTGAAAAACATTCATTATCTTCTTATTAGAAATAATTATTTATTAAGAAGATATCTGAACATATAATAATATATAAGAAATAGAGAAATAAACAATTAGTTAAATGAATATTAAGTTTCTAAATAAAAGCTTATTTATCAGTTACTCTGACTCTGTAACAAGATCTTATAAAGAGAATATTAATATTATATTAGTAAAAGACTTAAGAGTTCTAATATTTTAGATATATAAGATATTTATATAATTATACTTCTTTCAATTCTGAAGAACTCTTAAATACAGATATTATACATTTAATAAATAATATAACTATATCTACTGATAATATAAGAGAACTTTTAAACACAAGTATAGACATAGTATTACAGTGACTCTGAGTAATGTTAAAATTATAACAGTAACAGATAGTTAATATATATGTAAATTAATAACATTAATATGAAGAAATTCAATAATTATCTCAATAAAAAATCTCTGCATAGATAATTTTAACACTGACTGAATCAGATATAAATATAATATAAGTACTGAAGAAATATTTAAATACTTTCATATATTTTAATACTTCTAATCTCACTCTCTATTTATTATAAAGATTGAAAATACTTGTGAAACTAAGTATAGATAAAGATGTCATCAGTTCATTAACTAATCAAAATTAATATATTAATAATTAATGAAAGAATTATATGAAACAGAAGTTTCATTTATAAATAAAGATATATGAATCAGTATTATATATATCTGATAATATTATTAGTATTTCAATATTCTGTTCAGAGACACTGCTATACAGTAAAAGATATTAGATTAATTACAGAGTGTTTAACAGAGAAATACTTCTCTTATAATATTCATTTCTAACTTCAATATTAAGATTCTAGAAGCAGATAATCAATCTTGAAAGAATTAAATAAAGATTAGCATACTTAAGAAGACATTAACTTTTAAACTTCTATAAGCTTTTATAAGTATAGATAAAGACCTGACTTATAAAGACTTTTGCATACAACTTCAGATAGTAAATAATTATCTTATCAAGCTCAAGAGTATACAGAATAGTGATAGAAGATATTACATCTCAGTTACTTATACATCTGTGTTAAAGAATAATAATAATAATACAGATATTATAAATTGAGTAGACTTGAATATCTATATATAAATAAGAGTATCTGTTATCTGAACAAGCTTTCAAGTCTCTGAGATTACTTCTGAAAAAGTTATCAATCAATATTAATAAGAGATATGTATTAACTGTAATCAATCAGAATATATTACTTTTAACTGTTAATTAATCTATATATCTTCTCATTCTAAGAAAGAATCAGTGCTAGTTTATATCAACTATGTTATACTGAAGAAGAATTCAGATAATAATAATAAAAATACTCTGATAAAACAGAGAAAAGATTAGCTTCTGCTTAAACTTATAAGCAGAAGCTTAAAGAGATCAGATAATAATAATTTAAAGAGAAAATAATAATGAATATAATTCTTCTCTCTACTGTAATAGATAATAAGAGTAGCAGGTTTGAAAATAAGAGTTCATGAATACAAAGACTCAAGAATGAATCTCAAAGCTCAAACACAGTGTTCAAACTGTCAAAGATATGAACACTTTGCAATCTCCTGTTTCAGAGACTCAAAATGTGCATTCTGTGCCAGAGATCATAAAACTAGTGAGCATAAATGTGAAACATGCTCAAAAAGAGATGAAATATGTCAACACACTCTGCTTAAATGCTCTAATTGTAAAGAAAAACATGCATCTAGCTCAAAAGAATGTATGTTTACTCTCAGAACTCAAAAGAACTGAAGAAAAGATGAAGCTCAAAGCAAATTTAGAACTGAAGAGAATAGTCAAGTCAGTAAACTCACAACTGCAAGCTCAAAAAGAAGGAACTCTCAACTATCTAAATCTTCAAACTTCAATTCTTCAGCTAAATGTAAACAGAATTTGAATTCTCAAACTTCTGTTAAGATTAGAGAATTGAGAAATGACTCTGATGATAAACTAGATATAATACAAGCAGTTGAGATTTCTACTTTTCAGAATAGTTATAATCTACTATCTGATGATAGTGATTAGATTCTACTCTACTCTCTTTTAGTATGAATATATAACAAAAATGTAAGAATAAGTACTCGCAGGCGATTATTCGGGTGTTTGCAGCTTGGTGTGATATGTACTGTTAACTACTAGAAGTATTCACAGTAGAAAGATAAAATGTAGAGATCAAATGTATAATAGTATTCAAGCTAAGTTATAAATAGTATTTGTGAACTTCAGTCTATATAGTTGTGTGTAGCCAAGAGCTGCTAGCTCTATTAATTACATAAGAGATAGAAATAGAGATAAAGAATTCATAAGAAGTGAGATTTCTTATATATTCTTTCCTCTCTAAGACTTTATCTGCAAAGTCTTTCACTAAGTGACTTCATAGAATTAGCTCAGCACTGTAGTAATACTCACTAAAAACTCTTCATATCTATAAAAAAAACCTTAGTGAGGAAAAATCTCTTATTACTATAAAGAGAAAAGAGTCTGTCACTTAGTTTCTTATTTCATGAGATTCTTTATAATTTACAGATTCTTCTCTAACTATTACACAGATTCATCTCACATCTTTTATACAGAAGAGTTTCAGTTAACTCTCAATCATTTTCATAAGATTCTTATGTAATTATTATACAGATTCATCTTACAGATAAATCACTTTCTATGAGATTACTCTTATCAAAGAGAAATATTTGTAAGTTAATCTTTTACTTATTCTTACAAATCATTGTTCTTTGACACTGTAGAATTGTAAGAAATTTTTCATTCTTTTATTAACTCTGTAGAATTATAGAATCAAGATATTCACAGTCTGCAATTACTCTTTATAGTTATATAGAAAGATTCAGGTCTGCAATTCATAATTACTTTTATTTACTAAAGTGATCTGACTATTCTGCAGAATCACTCACAGTATAAGTAAATCTCTCTAGAGTAGTATAAATATCTCAGATCTATCTATGAAATCTCATCTTCTTTTCTCTTTTTCTGTAACAGCTTTTATTCTTATAAACTGTGAGTATTCTTATTCATCTGTAAAGTGTTTTTACTCAGATGATAGAGAGAGAGTATTTCTGATAATGTTTATATATTGATTCAAGAACTTCTTAAGAATAAAAATTTTTCAATTTCAATATCTTTATAATAATGTCTGACTGCTGCTGAGCTTCTTATGAGTGTTTTCATAACTTCTCTGATCACTTTTTACTGACTGATAAAGCAGAGATGCTGCTGCTCATAATTATATCTTTATTTTTCTCAGTCTTATCACTATATCTGATCTTCAGATCAGCAGCTCATCTCATCTCTTCTTCAGATCAGTCTCTGACTTCAAGCAGTGCAGTTCTTCTCTTTACTGCAAGTCTTCTCATAAGTAATTTCTTACAGACTCTAGTTAACAGTTCTTATAAAGCTCTCAGTATTATCAGTGTCTTCTGCAGCTTCACAGGTCTACAATTATTCTCTCTCTGCTCACACAATCTCTGATCAGATATATGTAAATATACCTAGGTTTCTCATCAATGATTCTCACACTGCAGTGCATTTCTGCAATCTCATTATCAATGAGAGATAAGTTCTCAGATACTCATAAAATTCAGATAATCAAGACAATGCAAATACTATGAATTTGTGATAAAAGTTAATCTGAACAGATGAGCTCTCTCTCTGTATCTTAATTATTTTCAGGCTGAATACTTCAGTATAACTGAGAAAGTGAATACAGCTTTGTAAGAAATATCTGATCACATATATAGATGATCAGTTCTCAAGACTCTGCTGTAACTATATACACTCTGATATTCAGCTTCTCTGAAGTCTGTGCATTTCTGATGATCTTTATATTAAATACAATAATTATCTGTATCACAGATATGATACTCTCTGCTTCTTTGAAAAGAGAAATTAATAGTTGTGAGAGAATTAAGTGTCACAGATGTTGAGAGTGTGAATATGAGTGTGAATTTTCTTTATTTTTTCTTTATTAGTCTCTAAATTGTGTTCACAGCTCTGTTTATTTTCTGTTTTTTAACTTTAATAAGAATATAATTTCTTCTTCTCTTATATATACTGCAGACTGTTCATTTCAGTAGAAACTCATTATCTTATAAACTAGAATTTGCAAATGACAGTGTTAATGTCTTTATCATAACTGAGTTCTTAGTGAAGACTGTGTTATTCTGACTTATCAGAATTCATAGTATAAAAGTCATGTCTCAGCTTCTGCAGATATCTTATCTGTCTGAATAATTCTTAAGTAAACTTATTTATCTTATCAGAATACTCTTATCACTGAACCTTGAATCAGAGCTTGTAATCTCATTTCTCTAAGTTAATAATTTCTTTAATCTGATATTCTCTTTCACTCTCTAGTACTTTACAGATAGAGTGATGAGTCATAGAGTTCTCTTCTAAGAATTTCTTATATTTATAAAGTAAAGAGATATGACAAATATTATATATTTATAACTCAGATAATAGTTTCAATCTGTAGAACTATAAACTAACTTTCTTCATAATCTTATAAGACTCTGTCTGTAAGAGATTCAGCTTCTTACTAGATCTCTATATAATAATGTTTTCTAAACTCAGTCAGACTCTATTATCTTTCTTAAAACTCTTTATAATATACTTGAAGTCATAGTATCTCTTTTAATACTCTTGAGTCTTTCTCAAGAATTCACAGACTTTCTTCTGAAT